TCCCTTATTTTTTGGGTAGGAAACCCTCTCCTCATGCTGAGGTTATTCACGGACACAAGCCTCTGCTTTCTGACAGGGATTTTTCCTTCTTTTCCAGGACAGGGTGAGGCAAGGGGGGAGATGGAGGGACTTGCTCCAGGTTTTAGGGATCCCATGTGAGAAGGATGGCTGGGATGGGCATCCCACTACAAGCCATGCACCCCAAGCACTAACAGGGAGTTTCCAGGCTGCTCCCAGCCCGTGTCCCAGGAAAACACAGCCCCAGATCCCATCGTTTCCTGCTGGGAGCTCTCCAGGTGCCCATGAAATATTCATGAGCCAAGGCAGACACAGCCTCTGGTGTGAGGGAGGAAACTGGTTTTATCCTGAGCAGGAGCTGGAGGGGAGCACTGGATCAGAGGGCACAGTGCTGTCAAACATGGTATTCCCAGGAGGACGCTGGGATTCCCTCCCGAGGAGCAAAGCGGGAAAGCCGAGTGTTTCCTTTCCCAGTGGGAAAGCCGAGTGTTTCCTTTCCCAGCCGGATGCTGCTGCCATGGGATGGTGCCTCCTAAGGATGGGAGTGTGCTCTGAAACGCAGCTGATGGAGGTGAACAGCATTTGCTCTCCAAAATATCCTCCCTGCTGGGGTTTCCTCACCCTCACGATCCCCTGGGCTTGGGAGGGACCACAGAGCCTTGGAATGGTTTGGGTTGGAAGGGACCTTAAAGTTCATTTTGTTCCAGCCCCTGCCATGGGCAGGGACACCTTCCACCGGACCAGGTTGCTCCTAGTGCACAATTCCCTGTTTTCCAAGCTACTTGCAAACATCCAGGGGGTAATCCTCACCTGTGCCTTGCCCTTCCCAGTCCATCAGAGGTGTGCAGGGCAGGCAGGGCAAAGCAGCAGCTGCTCCTTATCCTGCAGAGGCTCAGCAATGCAGCCACTGGCACTCAGCTCCCTGCTCTCCCACGCCACTGGATCTGCCCCTCCAAAACCTCTCCTGCTCCATCAAGAGCAGCTGGAAGTGGGGAGAGCAGCCCCCACCTCTGCCAGGGTGTTCCCCCTGCTGGGGTGTCAGCAGCAGGTCCCAGACCATCCTCTCCTTCTCCTTCTTTCTCCTTCTCCTTCTCCTNCCTTTTCCTTTTCCTTTTCCTTTTCCTTTTCCTTTTCCTTTTCCTTTTCCTTTTCCTTTTCCTTTTCCTTTTCCTTTTCATCTTCCTTTTCCTTTTCCTCCTTCTCCTTCTCCTTCTCCTGCTCCTGCTCCTGCTCCAGCAGCTGCTCAGCTCCTCCCAGGAGCAGCCCATAGCTGAGGGTCACCTGTATTATTAATTCCTGCTGGTGTCACCTCCAGGCCGGCCGAATCCCCCCGGGAAGACTCGGTGCCTGTCAGGGAAGGAACAGGAGTTCTCTGCTCACGGTGGTGTCACCTCGGGAGGTCCCCAGCACGGTGAGGCTGCCCCTGCCTTCCGCTCCTCCTCCTTTTATTTTTAGTGGCTGGGATTTAACCTCCAATAGTGCTGACCTGGCAGGAATCTCAGGGCTCCGCCATGGCCAGCGCCGTGGTCGTGTGCCACATTTCTGACTTGCAAATACCTCGCTGGGAGAGCGAGGGTGTATTTATCAAACACAGCCAGGGCTGCATCTTTATTTAGCTCCTTCTGTTTCCACACTGTATAATTCATGAAATTGCCTTAGAAAGTCGGGGCGGAATTAAATCGTTGACCAGCCCGTGAACCGGAGTTGACACTTCCATTATTTTAAAAGGAAAGCTGAGAGAAACTAAAACCTGACAAATAACCCTGTGCTGGGGGAGAGGGGCCAGCAAGGAGCTCGGTGCTGCCTGAGCAGAGAGAGGCACATCAGGGGCAGCTCCAGAGCATCCTGCTGGATGCTCCAGGTCCATCCTGCCCTGCCAGGGGGAGGGCTCCCATCCCAGATGATGGGGAGCCTTCTCGAGCCCTCCAGAGGTGCTGGGTGGCACCTCTGGGCTCATCCCCCAGCGTGGGCAGAGTGAGGGGGGGATTCTGCCCCTCTGCCCCCTCAAATGAGACCCCCCTGCAGAGCTGCCTCCAGCTCTGGAGTCCAACAGCACAAGGACGTGGAGCTGCTGGAGAGAGTCCAGAGGAGGCCACGGAGATGCTCCCAGGGCTGGAGCCCCTCTGCTCTGGAGCCAGGCTGGGAGAGCTGGGGGGGTTCACCTGGAGAAGAGAAGGCTCCAGGGAGACCTGAGAGCCCCTTGCAGGGCCTAAAGGGGCTCCAGGAGAGCTGGAGAGGGACTGGGGACAAGGGATGGAGGGACAGGACACAGGGAATGGCTTCCCAGTGCCAGAGGGCAGGGTTAGATGGGATATTGGGAAGGAATTCCTTCCTGAGAGCATGGTGAGGTCTTTATAGTCCCTTCCAACCCAAACCATTTTAGGATTCTATAAAAATCTCCTAGAGAACATTGGCATCACACTAAGCTGGGGCAGTGCCCACTGCCCAATTTATCTCAGCTATAACTGGCATCATTAACCTACACAGTCCATACATTGTGTCCCACCAGGACAACTCAGCACTGGAAAACAAATAAATCATGAAGAGTTTGAACCCTATTCACAGAATTGCTGCTCCATAAATCATTCACATCATCCAGGCTGCTTTCTAAAGGCCTCCCTGGCTTCCCGCTGGCAAGGAAAAGGCAGAGAGCTCTAAATAGTTTGGCTTTGTAAATATTCCCCAGCACCCCTCAGCTGTCTGTCGGCAGGTAACGAGGCACAGGATGTTCTTCTCCTCAGCTCTCAGCCAGGGCTGTTCCGTGGGAATTTTTTCCCAGCACACCGCTGCAGTTTTCATAGAATCCCAGAATCCTGGGATGGTTTGGTTTGGATTGGAAGGGCCCGTCCTGTTCCACACTCTGCAGGGACACCTCCCACTAGCCCAGGTTGCTCCGAGTTCATCCAACCTGGCCTGGAACGTTCCAAGGATGGGGCAGCCACAGTTTCTCTGGGCAACCTGTGCCAGGGCCTCCCCACCCTCACAGCCAGGAATTCCTTCCCACTATCCCACCTATCCCTGCCCTCTGGCAGTGGGAAGCCATTCCCTGTGTCCTGGCACCGTCTGCCTGTTTATCCCCTGGAAGTTGTGCAGGGAGTTGTGGCTCCGGGGTGTGACACAGGGGCTGTGGCAGAGCCATCACACCAATCCCGTGCCTCTCCCTCACACCACGCTCCTGCTTCCTCATTCAAAATTCCCTTTGTTCCCTCTGCCTGTGCCGATCCTTCCTGTGTGATGTCGGGATCTGAAGGACAGGCAGCTCCCTTCTCAACCGCCTCCTTTAGAACCCCTTCAATACTGGAGTCCCTCCTTCCTGCTCAGCCCTTACACGGCTCGGCTCCTTTGTTCTGCTTCCCTTCAGCCCGGTCCCTGTTCCATCAGAGGAATCCAGAGTACAAAGCTCCCTCCCCGTGCCTCGCTTCCTTTCTGCCTCCCTCCTCCCCGCAGCATCCTCTGTCATTACATCCTCTCCGCTGCTCTACAGCTGTTCCCAAACTCCCCTCCAGCATCCCAGTCGCGGAGCTGCAAATCATTCCAGCGCCAGGGACGCGCACGGAGCTGGAATTTGCGCAGAGCCGGAGGGATTTTTGCCCGGGCGCTCGGCAGCGGCGGGATGTGGTGGATAAGGCTGACTCCCAGCGGCTCCCGGGCTCGGCCGGAGCTGCCTCCCTTCCCTCCCTTCCCTCTCCAGGATGGATTGCAGGAGCACTCAGCTCCCGGCTGTTGAGCCCTCGCACACGAGGAGGTTTTTATCCCTCCCTTCCAGCTGCTGCAGCTCCGAGGGCCGGTGTTGGGTTACGGATAAGGGCGTTTGGAGTGGTGCTCCTGCAGGAAATCCCTGCGAAACCAGCTGGCATTGGCTGCTCCCGGATGGATCATTGGATTCTCCTGCAGGGTGGGCTCAGGGCTTGGCTTTGGTTCCCTGCCTGAGAACTCAGAGGTGCTCACAGCCGGGCTCCAAAGGCTCTCAGGCAGGAGCAGAGCCCCCCGTGCCCATTCCCAGTGGGAAGTGAGCACTTTGCCACCGGCAGCCCCAGTTACCCCCCAGCTGCCCCACTGGAATCTCGTGGACACTCTTGTGGTGTCACTCACCAGGCAGGAACCTCATTTTTCCTACTCTGGACTTGATCCCATATTTAAAGCATCCCTTAAAGAGATGTAGGGCTTCTTTGGTGCCCTTTTAATATCCATGATTTGATCCCTCAGGGCAACTCAGTTTTCTTTGCTTTCCCAATGATTGAGTAAACATTGGATAATGGTGGCATTTTGGATTACCTGCAGCAGGGGAAAACCTGGGGATTGTTCAGCCTTTAGAAGAGAAGGCTCCAGGGAGACCTGAGAGCCCCTTCCAGGGCCTAAAGGGGCTCCAGGAGAGCTGGAGAGGGACTTGGGACAAGGGACGGAGGGACAGGACACAGGGAATGGCTTCCCAGTGCCAGAGGGCAGGGAGAGATGGGATAGTGGGGAGAAATTTTTCCCTGTGAGGGTGGGGAGGCCCTGGGACAGGTTTCCCAGAGAAGCTGTGGCTGCCCCTGGATCCCTGGAAGTGTCCAAGGCCAGGTTGGATGGATCTGATGCCAGAACCACATCACAGAACCACAGAATATCCTGGGTTGGAAGGGACCCACAAGGATCATCGAGTCCAACTCCAGGCCCTGCACAGGACACTCCAAAACTCCCAGCAGGGCAGCCCTGGCCAAGCTGGTGGCCTTGGCTCCAAGGAAAACCCTTCATCTCCCTGAGCCAGCGGTGACAGAAACACTCCTATAAACACCCTGGAGGCTTGTTGGGTTTGCTGTTGGGGTTTTTTTAAGGAATGGTAACTCATGTCCCTCCCATCTCCCACTGGAGATGCATCTCCAGCACAGCCAGACAGCTGCAAAAAACCCTAAAAAACCTCCCAGGCTCCTTCCCCTCGGAGCCATCGGGGCTGGTGGCGGGGCTGGCCCCGGGGACGGCGTGTTCCCGCTCACCTGATTTATTATCCCTGCTCCCACACACAGACGAGCGTTCTTCCCAGGAAGAAAAGCTGGAGACAGTCCCTTGGAAACAGCCAAGTGTTTGTCTGTGCTTTCATTCCTCGGAGCAGAGGGAGAAAGGGAAAAAAATACAGCAGGGAGAGCTTGAAAAATTCGAGCAATCAGAGGCACTTCCAGGGCTGGACGACAACAAGGATTCAGGGCTTCTGTCGGGAAGGCTGGGCTGGAGACCCGAGGAGTTCTGCACATTCCAAAAAACAAACAGCAGACTCATCCTTGGGGGTTTGTTTGCAGAACTGCAGGAACCAGAGATGGAAGAGACCCATTAACTCATCTGTCTGTTCCCTCCAGGGCAGAGCAGGGTTTCTCCCTGAGGGGGTTATTTTTAGCACTCTGTCGAGCAGAGTTTTCAGCGTCTCATGACATGGGGGTTTCTTTTCCAGGGATTTAGAGGTAGGAATGATAAATCAGGTTCTGCCGAAAGAAGGCTTGACCCAGAGATGAAATGAGGATCAGAGTGGTGCTGTCAGTTCAGAAATGTTTGCTGGTGTGTTTTCCTCTCTCTCTAACACGTTTCTGTGTCTCTCCACAGTGAGCCCTGCCTGGGAAGGAAGGAGGCAACGGAGCCTCAGCTCTCCAGGGATCTTTGTTCTTACAGAGAAGAAGAAATGTGACAATTGCTCTGGAAGAAGCTTCACACGGGCATCCCACATCCCAGGAGATGTCATACACCCTTGGATGACTGGCACCTGTCCCCAGGCTCAGCAGACAGAGGTAAATTGTGCCAGAGGGTGATTTCTGGCGTGGATTTGGGGGTGACTGTGCTCCCTGTGCTCTGCAGGGAGCCCGGAGAACCAGCACCAGAGCTGCCAAGCTGCTGCCCCAGGTCCAGGGCAGCTCTGGGCTCTCACACCCACAGGATATTTCAAAGACATCCTGGATTAACAACCTCAGCCTCCTCAGCAGGGTCTGGAGGGTCCAGCATCACCTGCAGCTCCTGTGATCCTGTGACAAGAGGAATCAGCCTCAAGCTGTGCCAGGGGATGTTTAGGTTGGTTATGAGGGAAAGTGTCTTCATGGGAAGGGTGGTCAGGCATGGAACAGGCTGTCCAGGGAGGTGGTGGAGTCCCCACCCCTGGAGGGATTTAAAAGCCATGTGGATGTGGCACTTGAGGACATGGGTCAGTGGTGGCCTTGGCAGTGCTGGGGAATGGTTGGACTTGGTGGTCTTGGAGGACTTTTCCAGCCTAGAGGATCCCATGACTCTGTGATTCCCTGGATGGCATTGCCAGCACTCCAAGGGCTACTCAGCTCCTGTGAGGCTGCAGCTGCTGGACAAGGACAGACATTCCGGGACATTCCAGGCTCTCTCCTGGACGTGTCTCTCCCTCCTTCCTGCGACTCCCTTTGATCTCAGAATTCCACTTGCTCCCAGCCCCTGAGTACATTTCCCTGGGCATGGGCTGAGCGTGGCCGTGGGGGCTGGTCCAAGGGGGGGTCTGGCCCCCAGCAAAGCCCCAGGTTTGTGCCCAGGGCCATCACCAACAGTTTGCAGATGGTTCCGGTGGCTGTCCCGCTGCGAGGGGGACAGAGGGAGGGGAGGGGGGCACCAGGCTGGGTACTGCCTCTGGAATGGTGTTTGCAGGCCAGTGATTCAGGTTGTGGACAAGGCTCCATTGACTCCCTGGTGCAGGGTTAGCCCTGGAGAACCGGGAACTGCTGCAGGACTCCAGCACAGCCCAGGGAGGGGTGGGAGCTCCCATCTCCTGAGAGCACCCCGAGCTGAGCACCTCAAGCTGAGCACCCCAGGCACAGCCCTCACAGGGGAGGTGCTGCAGGGACGGGGGGTCTGCCGGGTCTGCATCCCCACCAGGAAGCACCTGGCACTGCCATGGGACACAGGGATGGCTGAGCACTGTCACGGGACATTGTGATGGCCACACACTGCCGTGGGGCATGGGGATGACCCTACACTGCTATGGGATGTGGGGGTGACCCTACACTGCTATGGGATGTGGGGGTGACCCTACACTGCTATGGGATGTGGGGATGACCCTACACTGTTATGGGATGTGTGCATGACCCTACAGTGCTATGGGACATGGGGATGGCCACACACTGTCCCAGGACATTGTCATGGCTGCCATGGGACATCACCAGGACCACGCTCTGCCACAGGACATTGCAAGGGCCACACATTGTCCTGGGGCACTGTGAGGGCCACACACTTCCATGGAACATGGGGATGACCACGTGGTGCCATGTGACATCACAGTGGCCATGCACTGCCACGGGACATTCCAGTGGCCACACACTGCCACAGGACATTCCAAGGGTCACACACTGCCACAGGACATGGTGATGGCCAAAGTCCCAAGCAGGCTTGGGCCATGCTGCTGAACAGTCTTGGCACAACCACTCCCCACACTGCATCCCTGTGGGATTCAGGACATTCCCCCCCTGTTTTCCTCACCCTTTCCCCCTGCAGCCCTGAGCAGGAGGGGTTCTGTCCGCACAGAGCCGGCCTGGGCTGTGTTCCCCCCCTGGGGGCACCCGTGTGAGCGAGACGTTTGGTTTTACTCTGCTGCACTTTGCCCAAAAACATTGCCTGAACATTATCACAGGGTAAGTCAACAAATCTGCAAAAATCTGCCCATTTTCCCCACTTTTCTTGCACCTTTGGAGACGAAGCTCCAGCTGTGCTGCTAAGTCGCGGTGATTTATTGGTGGGCTGAGGAGCTGGTTTAAATCCGGCATCTTTGGGATGCTGGCAGCCTTGCTTCCTATAAATCTTAACCAGTATTTCTAAGCCCTTTTATGCCAGCTGCTTTCATGTATCCAGAGCCTTTTCCGTGCAGTAGCCTATGAAAATATTGAACCGATGCCCAGAGCAACACCAGGATATGAAGGGGAAAACTTTAAGATGTTTTGTAACTATTTTTATTTTCTTTCACAGAACCTGCCAAATCTTAATTTTTCCAGTTTGCAAGTAAGAGCCTCTAAACCATCTGTTTGCTGTCAACTGATGTTTGTTTGGAGAGGGATTTTATTATTTTTTTCCATCTCGCACTCCTGTTCCTACAACTAGTTTACTGAACTCCATAAACGTCAGCTCTCACAGTTGTTTTGTGAGCCAGTTATGATTTAGGATTTAATCAAAATTGAGCAGTCAGTGTCTTTAATCAATAGGAATGGAGATCAAAAACAAAGGAACGGGGACTGAGGAATGAAACATTTAATGTGTCCCCACCGCCTTTGAAAGCGCCTGATTTGCACCGTAATGGCAACCAGGGATCGTTAGAACAACCCTTAAAGAAACCCACCCAACCTCCAAAAACTACTCATTGTGTTTTTTTAAAGATGAAAAGGGCGAAGGCAATTTAAGGCTTAAAAGCAATTCCAACCTTTTATCTCATTAAATATTAAAAATGAAGCTGCCGCGGCGGCTCCGGGGCCGTGGGAGCTCCCGGCACAGGGATGGGCTGTGGGTGCCCCAGGAACCTTTTGCTCACCCTGATTTGGTCCGCGGGGATGTTGTGGGGCACACTTGCGTTGCTCCGTGCTCTCCATGGGATTTTGGCATTGCCATGGTCCGGAATGGGCAGCCCTGAGGTCTGGCACCAACCACGCCCACCCGAGGTCACACATGGATTTAGTGTGGGAATAAATGCCAGGGGTGGGAAGCGCAGCCAGATTTCCCCTGGCACCACTCCATTCCTCCATCCCCCCAACCCTCCATCCTTCCAGCCCTTCATCCCTCCAACCTTTCATCCCTCCAGTCCTCCATCCCTTCATCCCTCCATGGCTCCACCCTTCCATCCCTCTGGCCCTCCAAACCTCCAGCCTTACATCCCCCCAACCCTCCAACTCTGTATCCCTCCATCCCTCATCCCTCCATCCCTCATCCCTCCATCCCTCATCCCTCCATCCCTCTATCCCTCCATCCCTCTATCCCTCCATTCCTCTATCCCTCCATGTCTCTCCTGCCTGCACACCAGGACACACACATGAGCCCCACATGATGCTGCATCCCACATTCCCACTTCCTCTCCAACGTCTCATCCCTGCACCCCATCACATGGGCTTATTGGGCATTTTGGGCCCCAACGGGGGACTGGCCACAGAAAAACAAAGCCATCCCAGCGGGAATGAGGTGCTGGAATGATGCAGCACCTCCTCTGCGGGGGGTCACGGACTGCGGGGGGGATGAGGGATAGAGCGGGGATGTCCAGCCCTGCTCAGCTGAGTTCGGCTGTTTGAGGCTGAGTTCGGCTTTGTGAGGTATGTCAGGCTGAGTTAGGCCGGGTTAGGCTGGTTTAGGCCGGGCTAGGCCGGGCTCTGCTGGGCTCGGCTCAGTTCGGCTCCGCTCGGCCGGGTTCGGCTCGGCGCTCTCGGGCGCCCCCTGCCGGCGCATCCCGGTACGAGCCCAGACTCGTGGAATCAGAAAATCCTGGAATGGTTTGGGCAGGGACACCTTCCACCAGCCCAGGTGGCTCCAAGCCCCGTCCAACCTGACCTTGGGCACTTCCAGGGATCCAGGGGCAGCCACAGCTTCTCTGGGCAACCTGTGCCAGGGTCTTACCACCCTCCCAGCCAGGAATTCCTTCCCAGTATCCCATATAACCCTGCCCTCTGGCACTGGGAAGCCATTCCCCCTTGTCCTGTCCCTCCATGCCTTGTCCCAAGTCCCTCTCCAGCTCTCCTGGAGCCCCTTTAGGCCCTGGAAGGTGCCCAGCAGTTGCCCAGCCCGTCAGGGACCATCAGCAGGTTTAAAGCCTGATCCTGAGGCCTTTGATACTCTCATTGATGCAGCCTGGGTTCATCTTTTTGCCGTGGATACAACGGTTTAATCTAAAAAGGACTCACATTTCCATCACCGTGGATTCAGGGGGGTTGTCTCTGCATTCCAGTGAGTGGGGAGGGAGCAGGGGGGAGGTGGATCCCCTCTGGAAAAGCTGCTCCCTAAAATGCCCTCTGCAAATACACGTCTTAGACAAAACAGCTCTGCTGCCCGAGGGCATCTCAATCCTCACGGAACCTTTCCTGCGGATCAGAGCCCGGATTCCTCCAAGGCAAATGAATCTGTTCTCATCTGCTTTCCCCCTTTGATGCATTTATGTGTTACAGAGGCCTAAAACGCTCCTTTAATAGTTCTGGCCCTGTCAGGGAAGCTGAGGTTTCTTTGCTTTCCTGTTTCTTCCCAACTTCCCTCCACCAGGCTCCCTGACAGCTCCTTCTCCATGGTGGAGATCAGGAGCCCCTGCACATCCCCAGCTCTGAGCTGGGAATATCTGTAGCTTCCAACAGTGATGCTCAAAAAGGCATCCTGTCAAATTATTTGCCTCAATGAGTGGAGGCTCCCAGGAGAAGCCCAGGCTGTTAATGACAACAGCAACAACAAAAATGAACCTGTCTGGTGGTGCTTGTGGAGTCACAGAATCCTGGAATGGTTTGCCTTGGAAGGGGCCTTACAACTCATCCCATCTCACCCCCTGCCATGGGCAGGGACACCTCCCACTAGCCCAGGGTACTCCAAGCCCCGTCCAGCCTGGCCTTGGACACTTCCAGGGATCC